AGAGGAGGCAAATCAGCGAGGGCACCTTGGTGGGTTGCACAGAGGTGGGAGAGTGGCCATGGGGGAAGAAGGAGTCCAGCCCAGGGCAGATTCCGAGACTGAGTGGACAGTCCAGGTGGCTGATTGGATGGGAGAGGAGACATGGGGTGTAAAGCACTCCTCCACAGAAGCCTGGGGATCTGGGCTCTGCCCCCAGTTCTTCCTCCAGGGCCTGCATTATGGGTGATTAATTCAGGGCCGAGTCACTTTCTTATGAAGGTTACCACAGATACATCAGCATGACAGGTGGGGCGTGGGGGAAGAAGGTTGAGCGTGTTCAAGTCAGAGCTGAATATTAGATTCTAGTCACTATTTGATTGATCTTTTAAGCAATTCTGGGATTCTGTCACTTAAAAACCAATAAATCTTTGAAAGCCTGGGGAAAGCAATGCAAAAGCAATAAATCTCCATTGTAGAGTATTAAAAAAAATAGGCCAAGCCATGGAGGTGAATGGCTAGAGGGATGCGGCTGCAGGGGCCCACACTGCAGCTCCTGGGCTGCTCTCGCTCCAGACCTCCTGCCTGTTCAGCTCTACCTGAGCCCCACCCACGAGGCTTCCAAACAAGGAGCAGCAAGCAGCAGAGCTGAGGCGGAGTTGGAGTCAGTTGGGCTGTGAGCATCTGGGGCAGGAGGAAGAAGGACTTACCTGGGGGTAGAGGCCAAGGTTCAGGTTTAGGGATGCCTGAGGGCACGTAGCTCCAGGCAGACTGAGACTCCAGAGTTCACAAGGTACAGGTTGGGCCCACAGAATCCAGAGTTGGAGGACCCCCAGGTGACATCACCTGGCAGTATCCCTACCAAATGACTATCAGGTCATCCCTTGGCACCTCAGGCCTGAAGAACTTAGAACTTCTGGAGGATCAATGAACTCTGAGCCAGGAAACTTGGTCTATGTCTAAACACTTAATGTGTAATGCACCCTGTGACCTTGGACCAGTCAATTAAACCTGTTAGGCTTCAGTTTTTTCCTCTGAAATGAAGATGGTATTTCTCTACCAGCTTATTCACCAGGCAAGTGAGTTAAATTAAAGAAATTATCAACTCTAAGTTCTTTTTTTTTTTAATAAAACACTGTTCTTTAAAAAAACCCTGATATATAATATTTGCACTTATGCACATAAGTACACTGTAAATAATGAATCTTGATTACATCAGGGTGTTGGCATTTCCATCTCCTCAAACCACGTTGATCATTTCTATATGTTGGGAATCTTCAAATCCTTCTCTTCTCGCCATTTCACGATATATAGAAAGTTGCTGTGCACTCTATGCATCCTACTGAGCTACAGAATATCAGAGCTGCTTTCTCCCATCACTTGAAAAACAGGATTCCAGGCCTCCTTGACCCAGTGACTCTTGTGAGCTCCTGGGAGTCCAGGGATCCCAGTCCCTCTTACTCTTCTCACCTGCTCCCACCTTTCCATTGCAGGACTCTGCGATGTCCACCTTCCTGGGTGGTGCTCGTCTCTCCATCTGCYCCTGGCCCCACTCCATCAAAATGACCCCTGTTCTACTGGCTCCGTAGTGCCTTAAGTTCTGCTGATTTTGTTGTTTTGTTTGCTTATTTGCCTAATGCCCCCTCCCCGCCAATTCACAGGCAGGCTTATAGGTTAATGAGCCTAAGAAGGCAGGGATGCGTCTGTCTGGCCTCTTGCTATATCTCCATTGCCTCTTGCTCAACTCACTTCCTGGTAACTAGCAAGTGCTCTGTAAGTGTGTGTTAAACAACTTAATGGCTATCTTCCCCCCACATGCCCATCTGAGGGCCTGGGATTTAAGGTAAAAATAGATTAAAGTAACTGAAACCTACTGTGATATTTTTCACCCTGTCATTGCAGTTGTCCTGAAAGTCTTGCTGGGTGGCATTAGTTAGTCTCTTCCCCTTGTTGGCTGAAGCCCAAGCAATGGTCTGAAAATAACAGAGAGCTCCCACCCTCAGTGATCCAGAGCCCTGGAAAGAAAAGCAGCCAGACATTTCCAGACACCAACCACTTCCCCTTTGAGCAGTGACATTTCTTTAATTTTAATTTTATTTTTTTGGATGGAAATGTCACCAGAATACGTCATGCATACCTTTCTCAGAGGGAGGTGGTATGGTATAGTGAAGTGAGCACAGGGTTAGGGTCAGCACTGGGCTGAAATTTTGGTTGTCTCGTGGCCTGCGCCAACTCATGAAGCTTCTTTTTATCTCAATTTTTATATTTGCAAACCAGGAGACCGCTACTGAAACGTGAAGATACAGATGATGTTATTATGTATGGCCTCAGGCATACAGCAAGTGCTTACTCACTAAGCAGAAGTTAGTAGGCCCTTTTAAGCTAAAATCTCACATATTTTTGTTAGAYGGGGACAAGGAATGAGCCCCATGGCTGTGAGGGGCTGCAGTGTGTTGATATTTGAGTACCTGTGTCTGCACAAGTAGAGTGGCCCTAGTGGCCTGTGCTTCCTGCCAATCTCACTTCTCACTGCTGCTGGGGCACTTCCACCTCCTTCTCTTTCCTCATCATTCACTGTAGTCTAAGGGCACCTGAGCTTGTGAAAGATATGTGCAAACTAAGGGCAAGGGTTTCTGTTTGTGGGATCTGGAAATGTTTTCCCAGGCATTTGGCTTGGGCTCCTCAGAGGGCCCCTTGGCCAGGGTGAGGTGGGGGGTGGGAAAGATCTTGGTGTGTGGRGTCAGGCATGCCTAGATGCCTGGATCTAAGTATTTCCCTGTTTTATTCAGTCTCTGTGAAATAGTGTCCATACTTTACAGATAAGGAGAATTGWGTCTGAGAGAGAGGGGAAAAAGAGTTGGTGGAGGGGAGGAGAGGATATTTTGTCTAATGTTCACACAGCAGTGATTGAGCAAGATTGAAATCCAGGTTCAGTRCCAACAAACTCACATTCTTTCCCTGGCCCACACACAGCCAGAAGACTGGGGTCAATGAGCCTAACTCCACCCCCACCAGGAGTCTGTACTATGAGGTGCCAGGGATCAGGTCCCTTTGCTATAGATTTATAGGCTCAGAGAGCTGGATCTTCTACAAAAGGTCATAGAMTTGGGGTCAGACCTGAGATTTGCTGTGTGCCAGTTGCTAACTTGATGTGCAACCTTGAGAAAGCGGCTGACCTTCTCTGGGCTGTACTCTTGCCATCTGGAAAGCTTTCTAAGGTTTTGAAATAGTGACTGATCCTGCTGTATAGAAGAGGGAATTCTTAAAGGGAGTAAGGCATTGCTGGCCAAAACAGGACCCATGATTTGACACCCACACATCCCACATTCAAACTCAGTTTTCCTACTTGCTGACGGTCTGCCTTTGGGTATCTCAGTTTCTTCATCTGAAAATGAAGATAATATCTCACAGCATACAGAGAAAATTGAATGGCCATACTACAGCAGAGTGACTGGAGGGAAAAAAGGGGGTTCATAATGTGACTTAGAGCCACCCTCCGTTTTGGCTCATCACGGGTAAGACAGCCCTAGAACAACCAATGTGTGGAATCTCAGACCAAAATGCCATAGTAGGAAGCCCATAAACATGACTCATGACTGTGACAGGGATTGAAATTCTTCTTAGTGGGAAGGAGCATTGTCTAAAGTCTTTAGAGTAGGCAGGAACTTCCAAAATTTGGCAGTTGATTCCATCTGCTTCACTGCCTATAATATCTGGGTTGAGCTGGATGTACATTGGAAAATGAAGACTAGGACCTTCTCAAGAGCCTCTTCCAGACAGGTCTCTTAGCCTCCAGGGACACTAAGAATGATACTGCTGCATGCAATTCTCCAGTGGCTCCCCACTGCACTCATAGAAGCTCCAGCCTCTCAAACACACCCCACTCTCACCCTGCCCTCCAGCCTTGACCTTTATGTTAATGCAAATCTAAGCAGGCATGGCTACTCCCCACTCCAGCAAGCTGCCTCTCTCCTCAGTGCCTCTGCCCATGTGGACACTTGCAACTTGAGTAAAATCTTACATTGAAGAGGTGACCTGGTGTCCCCTCCCTGAGAATTCTGTCCTGTGAGAGCCCATAATGAGCTGTGCTTATCTCTATAAGGATGTCCTTATTATAATTATGTTTTCATATTTCTGCCCTCCACGTCAATTTGGTTTCCTTTAGAACCTAACTTATTTATTTATGGCTAGTTCTCTACTGTTTTACCAAGTACTGAAATAATGCCTGAGACAGAGTGGATACTTAATAAAAATGTGTGTTGAATGAATCATTGGTGTCCCTGTGTCACTCTCCATTCTAATGACACGAGGGGCTCAATGTTTGTTTGTGGAACTGCACTGCACCAATCTGGAAGTTGTTCTATCCAGGGCACAGCTTTGTTTCAATGGACTAGTCCTATTACCTGGAGTTCTGAGCAAAACCAGAGGACAAGATCACTGCCCTTGTTCAAAAYGTAACTTGCTAAAAAGAGATGCCCACCTTGCTTGCAGCATGGAAGGACACTGGTCAGCTTAACTTCAGAGATGCTTGGGCTGTGTGGGCATCCAAACGCTCCTGCCCTCTTGTTAAAATCAGTCGCGTAACCTGAAAGGCACGGTCCCTGTGGGGCTCTAACACTCCATGCCCTAGACTGGGGTCTGTTCCTGATCTCTGAGCAGGTTATCTTGAGAATTCAGCAAGTCTGTTTCTCTCTTCCTGAGAGTGAGTATTGTGATCTTGCCAGGGGACTGTATCCAGGTTCCCAATTCTACTAAATTTACCATAATCATGCTCCAGAAAGTTCTCTCCCTGACCATCTTCAGGTTCCTATCAGCATGTTCCCTCTGAACACTYCACTGTGGGAGGAGATGATCTGGCTCTGAGGCCCCTCTGGATTGGTCTCGGACTGCCGACCCTCTTCTCTTTGGGAAGTCTGGCTCCTGGCCTGTGTGGCCCGTGCACACGGCCAGTCACATGACTCTACCGGAGTTGTGTGTGGTACTGGGAAGGAAAGCTGCAAACTCCAAAGGAAGAACCTCCTCACCTGACCGGGGCTCCCCGGGACTGAGCGGGCTTCAGCATCACCGTGATGGTTGTGTCCGTCTCATTCAGGGGGGTATCCGTGTCGTACTCAGGCATCGATGGAGCTGCGGAGGGAACAGAGATGGGGGTGAGCTCAGCACAGTTCCCTAACCGCACCCACCACCTCCCCTTGATGCCACCCTTATAGACCCTCCAGATGACTAGAGGGAGTCACATGCGTCACAGGAAGCCCTGACTTCCAACCTGCCACCTGGAGGCTCCTTCAAGGAGCAGCAGCCTGGAGAAAGGTGGCATTGATGTGACCAGTCACCCTAAAGAATCACAGAGTTCCTCAAGGAATACAGATACATGCAAGAAATATACACAGTTAATAAAGAAGCAAAAGCAAAGTCAACCATGTTAAACGCATTTAAATGCAAATGAAAGTAATGATGAATTAATTCCCCCCCCACTACTTTTTCTTTTTTTCGTGAGACCCTCTCCACCCSGAGAGGAGTGTGACTAAACCTAATCCTTTGAAAAGGTAATTTAGCCATTTATATTAAGAGCTATTAAAACCCACCTCCCTTTTAATTCAGTTTTTCAATTTCTGAATTTAATCCTAAAGTTATAATCCGAACCAACGAATTACACTTTATTTTGTAACACGTTTATTGAAGCGTTATTTTACAAAAACATGGAGGCACCAAATATATCCAACCACAGGGGAATGTTTAATTAAATGACGTCCATCCACTTGACGGAACATTAAAGAGAGCAATTCGGCAACAGGGGGAATGCTTATGGGATCCGAATAAGTAGAAATATTAAGCTACAAAACATCGTGGTGTTGGAAACCACACACAAAATGTATGTGCTTCTACACCAGAATGGAGGAGAGATTCTGAAAGGTGAAAGTGGTTTTAGGAAAGGCATTCCGAGAGGATGCTCTCCAGTGGTGAAGGCAGCCCGGACGGACATAGCAGCTGGGATACTGGGGTCACTGTAGCTTGGGAATGGTCATTCATTCATTTATTTCTTCATCAGAGGCCTCATGAGCGATCATATTGGGTCTTGCACTGGCAAAAAGAATATTTCTGAGAATAAAATTACAAACCGGCTTTGAAGGGTGTCCTTTCCCCCTCTCTCTACATCAACCATATTCACACTATTTAATGTGACCCTGGGGAAAGTCATCTGGTGAACTGACACCTGATTTAATGTATTTTTTTACACTTTAGGAAGTTCATTGATTAGGTTCCTTTGTAAGGCTGCAACAGTAACCCACTAGGGACTGCCTTCTAGTTGTTGACATACTGTACCCTGCAGCAACAGTTGACTTTGTCTCTTCTTACTCTCGGGAAAATTAGGAATGGGGGAGGAGTAAGGGGCAATTTTTCTTCCTTTTTGATTTCTAAAAGAGATACCTGAAATTTTGGTGGCAATCCGAGTGGTGACCGGGGGTCCAAAACCCTTGGCGGTGCTGGCCTTGATGGTGAAGGAGTAGGTGGTTCCTGGGTACAGACCCACAAAGAGGTGGTGAGTTTCATTCCGGAGCTTAAACACTTTCCCCCTCTGGCTGGAGAGGTCGGCACTGGGGTCCAGTGAGCCCACAGCCTTGTAGTTGATCTGCATGGCAAGGCGACAGAGAAACCAACAGCCACTCAGAGAGCAGGAAGGGGTTCATTTGGTCGGAACATCAGAGGTGGACAGATGACAGTGAATGAGCTACAGTCAGTAAGTCCTGCAGAGCCACCTGCTGCTGTCCACTTTGCAGATCAACCCAGCCCCTGAATAGCCCCCTGCTGGAGCAGCCACAACCAATAGAAAGAGAACGTGGCCACACATGTCATTTTCTGTGTTCGAGTCATAGCATTAAAAAGAAGAAAGGGAAGTTATATCTTGTTGGACCCAATATATTCAGAATTTCAACATCTCAACCTGTGATCAGCATAAAAATATTTAATGAGACAGTTTATATTCTAATATTCATATAAAATTCATATTTATATTGAGAAATCTGGTGGGGAATTTATGCTTAAAGGACACTTCAACACATTTCAGAAGTACAGTAAGTAGCTCTCTGAGACTGGTGCTTAAGAACAATGTCTAAATGCAGTAACCCAGTAAGAATTATGAAGAAGGCTTGTTAAATTGCAGATCCCCGGGCCGGCCCTCCACAGGGATATGGTTTACATCCTGGTGTTTCCTGCCTTATCTGGTTGCTCTTCCCCCAAATGTGGGGGAACAAGTATTGTTTTCACTTTAATAATGGAGAAACTGAACCTCCACTGGAAATTACCTGCATTAAATCGACACGTTTCAAACTATCAGTGGCAAAGACCCAGTTTGGGGTTTTCCAATCCACTCTGGATCAATAGTAATCCAAAGTCCCCACCCCACATGGCTTATCCTGCAAGTTCAGCAATAAAACCTGTCTACACTGGGCCATGACTTGTGTCCACTGGCCACTGACCACACAGGTGGATGTCACAGTGTAAAAGATTCTGGAGTGCTCACTCTCAATTTCTGCACTTACCTTGCTGTGAAGGTAACTGAAGGTTGGGCATGTGGCGCTGGCCACCATGGGTCCCACTTTGAGAGCCATGTGTCTGAATTATGCAGTAAGCACACATAGGATTTTTGTTTGTTTTCTTACCTTGTTTGTTCCATTAAATGTGTTTTATTAAACTATAATATAAATACAGAGAACTTTACTGCTCCAGAATTTTTGCAAACCAAAGAGTGATAAAATCAAGAAACAGAACGTTCCCAGACCCAAGCCTTTCCCCTCAGGCCTGCTTCCAATCCTTCCTGCCTCCCCTAGCAAGGCTCACCTCACTTCTCAGCATGGACTGGTTTTGCCTGTTTTGAACTGTTAAGAATCCAACAGTGTGTGCTCTTTTGTGTCTGGCCTCTTCCTCACGTGTCCTGAGAGTCACCATGCATCCCATGCAGATGCCAATCATGCATTCTTAGGTTTACTCCATCATCCATCCTGATGCTGGATTCAACCCCGGTCTTGACCTCAAAGCCTGTGCTTGTTATTCTGCACCACACCGCCTGGCCTGCAGACACGGCTCACTAGTTAAGAATGTATCCACTTATCCTCTCCTTTGCTCCTTCACCAACATCCAACATTTCCTGCATATTCTTGTACTTCCGGCTCTGCACTATATGCTACTGGGGACTCCAAATGGACAGAAGCCCATCCTCGAGTGGCTTGCATTCTAGAGAGAGGCAAGCCAGCTAGCTGTACAGACAGTTCAGGTCATTTTATCTCCCATCACGGATATGCCAAACTTACAGAATGGTCAGATCCAGGCAGGAAAGGGAACACACCAACTGAACTTTAAAAATAAGCGATTGGCTGTTTCTGGCAGTGGCACCAAGTGCTGAGGAGAAAGAGATGCTTTCTCTGTCCTGTGTGCAGCAGGGGTGGAGTAGAAACTGATGCCACGTGCTCACAAGAGCAGACTTGGCCCGGAGCAGAGTGAGCCCAGGAGAAGTGCAGAGCTCTGGGGAACTGGGCTTTCACAGGTGGAACCTGATGGTCTCACTCATTGCTCAGGTTGCTCTAAGGGGCCTGTCTCAGGTTCCCTCTGGTCTCCCTCCCTTCCGAGAGGCCAGCGCTACAAGCCTTCCGCCCTCTGTGCGTGAGGGCTTCCTGATGAGGTGCTCCCAGTGACTGACTGGGGGTGCCCCGTTAATTCCCCAGGCTCCTGTCTTGTGGTATCCTTCGTCTTGCAAGGCAGCTGGCTCCAACACACTCTGATCATTGGTTATGAATTTCTCTCTTCCCCAGTCCCTAGGTCCTCATTGCTATTTCCAAAACTTCTCAGGAATCTGCTTAGCTCTGAATCCTCATCCTAGGCTCTGCTTCTGAGCAGTGCCAAACCCAGAGCGCTCAGGAAGGCATCTCAGGAGAGATGGGAAGTAGCACCTGCAGGAAGGCACAGTTAGGGCAGAGGGAAGAGCCCCCTGGGTTCCAGGCAGAAGGACCAGCCTGGGCAAAGTCCTGATGGGGTGGCCAAAGTCTGCATGGAGGCAAGTACAAGGTGACTGTCAAGTGGGGAGCAAACGGGGCTTCTGGATTCTGGTTTCTGTAGCCACAGAAGAGAAAAGCGCTCAGAGCCGGGCTAGTGGCGACCAGCCCCAGCATGCCAGTGGAGCGGACATGCTTTCTTATTCCTTCAAAATTCCTGTCCCTGTCCCCCTGCCTGGGCTGGTGGCAACTCCATTGATATACAGACCCTGGGAGGTAAAACTCATGCCTTATTTACTAGCCAGCTCCGTTCCTACGCTCCAAATTCAATCCAAAAGCGACTCAATTTCCACGGAGCTGTCAATATAATATACCGCACTCCCCTGCTCTCCTAACCTTTCCTGGTATTACAGGATCCTCACTTACTTGTAATGAAACACTATGAATAAATCAATGTATGTTAATATAGCATGTCTTCAATTTTTTATGAAGGGCTTCACCAAATCTAATTCCCACTGCTTTGTCAGAAACATTCTTTGAAAAATTTAACTTGCAAGTTTTACAAAGTTAGTCGGGGATCCGACTGGGGAGGGAAAGAAGAAAGGTAAGAAAAAAATGGAATGGGGTGGAGATGTGGCCGTCACTGCATAGTGCAGTAAAAATCTTCATTCAGAAGTGGAGGAAAGGGAAGATCTGCTAGCAAGTAGAGAAAGCACAAAATAAAGGGTTCATAGGGGAAAAGGATGCTGAGCTGTCTGTTGATCATCTTGGGGTTCCAGGGATGGGCTCTAGCTATAATAAAGTGCTACAGTGTGTCCCCCTTCTCCTCTGGTTGGTCACAGTGGAATCCCCTGCTAGAAACCAGAATGAGCACTTCATTCACAAAACTTCAATGAAGTCATAAGTACAATGGTTTCCCATAGCTCTCAGGATTAAGACTGCATTTTTGTCCTGTGTTCTGAACCAGCRCACTGCAAGAGGTGGCTTCAACTGCCCTTCCTCTTGCCTTTCAACCCTTACTTCAGTACTTGGAAAAAAGCCATGAATGACCTCTTTTGCCACAGGGCCTTTGCACCAGCTAGTCTGTCATCTTGAAACACTTCTTCCTTCCTTCTCAGGCTTCCTCTTCAAGTAATTCATCCCTCTTTATTCTTAGATTTCACTTAAAAATGACACTTTTCTTTTTTAAAAAAAATTAAATTATTTATTCTAATTTGTTATACATGATGGCAGAATGCAATTCATTTCATATTAGACATATAGAGCACAATTTTTCAAGTCACTGACTGTACACAAAGTATTTTCACATCATTCGTGTCTTCGTACATGTACTTAGGGTAATGATGTCTAACTCATTTCACCACCACCCTACCCCTTGGCCCCCTCCTTTCCCTCTTCTCCCCTTTGTCCTATCTGAAGTTCCTCCATTCCTCCCATGCTCCCCTACCATCGCCATTATGAGTCTGCATCCTCATAGCAAAGAAAACATTCTTTGGTTTTGGGGGATTGGCTTGCTTCACTTAGCATTATATCCTCAACTCCATCCCTTGACCTGCAAGTGCCATGATTTTATTTTATTTTAATGCTGAGTAATGTTCCATTGTGTATATATACCACAGTTAAAATGACACTTTTCATGAACACCTCCTGTGTTTCCCAGGTCCTCCTATTTTATGTTCCCAAAGTGGCATATCTCTCCTTTGACTCACCAACTCTATTGAACCATGTAATTACCTAGTCCAAGGGTTAGCAAAATATGGTCTGAAAGCCAAATCCAGTTCATCACCTGTTTTTGGAAGTAAGGTTTTATTGGAATACAGCCACCTCATTCACTTTAGGTACAGTCTGCGGCTGCTTTCACACCACCGTGGCAGAATTAAGTAGTTGAGACTGAGCCAAGGTCCACATGGTTTAAAATATTTAATCTCTGGACCTTTATTTAAATCCTTGTGCTAGAATGTAAGGTCCAAGAGGGCAAGGTTCTTTGTTCAACATTTCATCTCCTAGGATGTATAAATGAATGATCAAGTTGGCTGAGTGGCTTGAGCTTAGTTTTTCGGTTTTAGTTTATCTTACAGAGTGACCTCCAGCTTCTTTACTCCTGAAAGACAGTCTMTTGGTTTAGTCATGAGGGTCCCAGGAGTATGTGAGTGACACTAAGTTCTGCACCAGAGCCCCAGCTGCAAGGGACCAGAGGATGTCTTAGGAGCAACAGGTGCTCTTCTTCCTGGGCTGAAGGGAGGGGACAAGAAACACAGGGAGAACAGAAAGACACAATTTCCCTGTAGGGTCCCAACAGGAAGGACTTACTTGTTTATTGGAGAAAGACTACATCAGTCTTGTTCAAACAGAGCCCATGAGAAGACTCTGGTCCTGAGGATGAGGCGGTGATGGGGGTGAGGGGAAGAGCTGAAGACAGCAGGGATGGGGGAGGTGGCCAGGACTCAGAAGCCCCTGGGTAGTGGTGGAGCGCACACCATGTGTGTTCCAGGCACTGAGAGGGGGGGCTAGCATAAAACTCAACTCATTTAATTCTGGAAAAAAATAGCATGGATTCTTCATGATTGTTCCTATTCCTAAGCTAAGGAAATTGAGGCCAAGAGAGGAAACAGTGAAAATGTAGGCTGGGTTGTGCAGTGCTAAA